TGAAGAGCAAACGAGGCAAGAACATGGCATCATCATCATATCCATCGTTCCCGTCGCCATCATCACTCCTAGATATCCATCCTCCTCCTCCTCCTCCCTCCTCCTCCTCCTCCTCCTCCTCCTCGCAGAGATCTCTCACCTGTCGTTGACGGGCTGATGGGTGGGGGTGAAGGAACAATCGAGGAACTCGAAGGACTTAGAGCCGAAGGTCAGCACCCTGGCCTCGAAGCCGGGGGCAGGAGACTCTCCCATGGCCTGCCTGGTGTGCGCACGCAGCTTCCACCCATCCTGCATGTGAACGAATCGCAGCAGAGTCTGACCGATAAGACCGGGAGCAGGGAGCAGCTGAAACCACTTCTGCAGCCCTTTGCTCATCCTGAGCACCGTCCATTCCTTGATGTTGACCTCGATCAGGAGCAGCGCGTTGCTCGAGATCATACCCTCTGCCAGCATCCCGTTGAGACACACTGGCCCGTCCTTCTTCTCCTCCACAGCCACCTCCGCCTTTTCGACCTTGATCAGCTTCTTGGGCTTGCCCTCCTGCGATCGGATCGCCCTCAACATGACCACCATGTCCTCCTGCAGCTGCAGCAGCGTACGCTTGGACTTAAGGCTCCCCTTCTCCACAGATGCAGGACGGGGCTGTGATGGTACGATCGGGTCTAGCATCTCCACCAAGTCTCTCATCCTCTTCCTCTGCTCTACCTTCTCCAGTCGCAGCCTCTCGGCACGAGAACCCATCTGAAGACAAGTTTCATGCGGGAGGAGAGAGCGGGAGAGAGAGGGGAGGGAGAGAAGGAGGAAGAGGAATAGGAGGAAGAGAGAGAGAGGGGGCATAGGAGATAGAGATAGGCAGAGAAGAGGGGGAGAGGGAGGAGATTGGAGAGGGAGAGCGGGAGGGGAGAGGGGAGGGAGGAGGGGGGGGGAGGCGAAAAGGGGTGGAGGCGAGGGGGTCGAGAGGAGAGAAAGGTGGGAGAGGTGTGAGAGGAGCAGGGGAGAGGGGAGGGGGGGAGGAGAGGGAGGGAGAGAGGGGAGAGGGGAAGATGCGATCTAGAGGGCAGGGAGTCAAGAGCAGTTTCATCTCACCTTCAAGATCGGAGTAAAGCGAGGCCCAGGGAATTATCAAAAGGATTCCACAAGGATCGTTCCTGGCAAGATGACCTGACTAGCCTCCTCTCCTGCACTGACCATTCGGGCACATCAAGAGAAAATGCATTCCTCCACTCTCTATTTCCGTGTCTCGCGCGTAGAAGCACAACACTGTATCAGCCTCCTGAAGGAAAGCCATGGTAAGTTCCAGTAAAGTCTCCTCACACCAAGTCTCAAGTAGCAAGGTTGCAGTTGAGAGCATTCTTGTTTTGAACTTCCTACTAAGCCCTCTAGAACATGTATGCTCCTCGAATTCAGAGCAGCAGCGACACTATGAGGTGAAAGACCACTGAAAACAAGAAATAGCTTTGCAGTGAGGAAGTTGTAAAAAGGTGCATGGGGAATGCGAGAAGAAGTGAGAACATGAACAAGAGCTCATCAACCACACATGAAGTCATGGGTGCAATCATACACCAAGACAGGCCCACCAAACACATCGCAGAAGACTAGTTCAATCCTTCAGTGTACGCAAAGGGCAAGGGGACGGGTCGTTGGGGCTTGCGCAGACGGGAAGGATGAACGACAAGGCGCATATTATATCAAGACGGAGAGAGCATGTAGCCGAACAACATGGGAGCTCTATGGTGCTATGTAGGTCGCCATGGCGAAGGGGCGGGGCGGCTTCTGCTCCATGATGTAGCGGCAGCTACATGCTGGCCGTGACAAGAACAGCGCCAAGACCATAGGGTGGGGTGGTGGAAGGAAATTTCCGTCAGGGGTCCATTGATGGGGTGGGTACACAGGGTGGTAAACAGGGGGTTCAAGAGCTCCCTGGAGGGGTGGTGTGATGATCATAGAGGGGTACTTTGCAGTTTGTAGTGCTAAAACTTTAGATATCGGGGGTGGGTAGTTTTGTTGACACATGGGGTTAAGAGCTCTTTCGGAAGCATTGACGAGGGGGTAGGGTACTCGATGTTGGGACCATCCGGTGGGTGGGTGGTAGGGATACACCGGGTGGTAATGGTAAAGACGAATTGATACCTCCAGGTCTGACGATGCTTTTGAGGGGTGGGTGATGTTGAGGGGTGGGGTACAAAAATAGTAGAAAAGTAGGGTAGGTGAAGGATACGGAGGGGTGGGATTTGGGAACTAAAGGGTATAAGGTCAGTTGTTATTTTTAGTTAATTTGTCGTGCTGAAAAGGGGGGGGTGGGGTGGATTGAGTTGAGAGGAGTGCTTACGAGTGGGGTGGGGGTGGATATTTACTATTGCGAGGGAGTAGGGGTCATGACGATCAGCTGGGTGGTTTTGCCTTATGAAGCGAAGTTGATCTTGGGGTACCTTAAATTTTGTTGTCGGAATTCATCAATTTCTAAAATGTTAGCATTAATATTGAAAATTGGAAGAAGTACTGAAACAATATTTCAGTAAAATCTCCTCGGCAACTTTGAAATCATTGGTGGGTGCCTGGGTGGACAAAGGATGATGACCCACCCCCAGAAAGACCGCTGTACCCCCACCCCATCCCACCCGCAACCCCCCGTGCCACCCTCCATTGCAGCGTGTCCTGTTGGAACCGACCACCCCACCCCAACATGTCCTCTAACCCCTACATCTCAAGATAGAGATGGGTCCCAATTGTGCTCTCTTGTACCCCACCATAATTCAGTACCCTACCCTTGATTCTCCTAAAGAATCACCACCCACCTACTCAATTCTCAGTCATTGTCATTGATTCCAGAACTAGTGATGAGGGGTCCAATTGTCTACCCACCCTAAAAATCGAATATACCTCCATGACCCGTACCCCCAGGAACAAACCCCCGGGGTAAAAAGTGCTACCACCCCACCCACCTCTGATCATCAGAGCTACTGGCAAAAGTCCCCCCCAAGGTTTGACTCCCTCAAGATGATTAACAAGTAATTTTAAATATCGAAATAAGACTTTATCGTAAATTTACAACTCTACAAGCGAAAATAGATCTTATCGATGATCTAGAACCTCACAGAGCTGCTAAAAGTAGTTATAAAGTCACGTCCATCTCCCTGTAGTTAAGTTGGCGAAATGGTTGGCAGCCGGGGGCGCGGGAAGAGGCCGCGCTCATGCAAGGAGATGCCTTCGCGCTCTACGGCGTGATGTCTGACGCGTCCTCTGACTAGAGGGGCGAAGCCTCGTCTCATCCTCCTGCTCTCAGAGCCTCCTTCTTTGTTTCACCTCAGAGAGCAACACGGGTTCCCAGAAGGTTTGCTCTTGAGGACTGGGGGCTTTTTGTCGGACGCACGTCATTGCCGAGAGAAAGGAAAGCATCTCTGACCACCTTAGAGTCAGATCCACGATCTCGGGTGAACGGTAATGGCACCTTCCACCTCGCCGTAGAACAGAGTGAGGGAAAAAATTGTGCTACAAGGATTAAGCCACGGATTTTTGTTGTGCACTTGGCTGTTTACTCGAACAGACTTCTTCGTATGTCAGAGAATGATCTCTGTCTGACGACATCTAGGGCCCTGAGCATGCTGAAGGCTAGTGAGACGATTCGCGGGGTTTGATGAGAGTTGGGAACAAGATTGCAAGGATTGTACTTTTCTGACAACAAACACGCAGCAATGCCAAACGTGGGAGTATGTGAGAACTTTCTCTAGTTTCCACTCTTGCTACTCTCTCTGCCCTCTCCATGGAAGTTTGACACGTTGTGCGTCCACTGATTCTGTCCTAGAAGCATGCAGTAAATCTTCATCACAACACTACTTCACCCTCCTGCTCGCACCTGTCCTCGCTTTCTCGATCGACGTCTCCTGAGCGCATGATAAAGTTCAGGTCCAAGGGGACTCGTCAACCCCCAAGGCACAGAAACAGCACGATGACATGTTTCCCCAGACCTGACAACCGCCCCTCGACCATCGGCAACGAGTCAAGCATTCACATCAACAGTGCTCTTCAGCAGCAGCTTCCGTGAAGGAGACGCCATGGTGTATCTGTTCCAAGATCAGCTCGTCCCAAGTGTCGTTGACCAGGTCGACAGGGTCCGCGCTCGACACAAACAGCGGCGAGTGCCGTGATCGAGGAGTCGTCGAAGACGCAGGAGGCTAAGTCGACGGCAACCAGGTCAGCGAAGCTCTCAGCTGGAAAGCAGTCGGAACAGGATGTTTGTTCTTGGCCTTGAAGTCAAGGTGAGACGCCGATCGCACTACCATCCCCTCGCAGAAGCCGTGAAGCTGCTGCTGCATCCTTCCGCATAAATACTCTTGTCTTGCATGCAGTACTTCCTGCGGTGGCAGAACCTTGACTCCTCACCCACAAGACCTTCTCACTCCTTCCCACCTCGCTGCCGGCCTGCAGCCACCTCAGCAAGCACTTCCTCACGGGTGATGACGGAGCACAGCTTTATCATCGTGGAGGGCTGGTCATCATCGTTCCAGCTGAGGAGCTTCACAACATGGGGAGCCCCTTGCAGGCTACTACGATCACGCATGTCTTCACATCTTGATGAAGCCCTGACCCCAGGTGCTCCTTGCCGCCTGCTCAGATGGCGATGTTGGGTATGACGGACGCTATGCGTTCTCTGCTAGTGCACGATCGGCATTCGCCATGCTGATCGCGGCATGAGGATCGGGTCCCTCCTCTGCCGCCCCTCCCCTCGCCATCGTTTCCTTCATCCTCCAAGAGCCTTATTTTGCTAGAAGGGTGGTGGGGTGGGTGATGGTGGATTTGGTGGGGTAGGGTCCAGCTGCATTGCCGTTATGGAACGAAGACTCCAGTGGGGTAGTAACCCCTACCCCCTATTTTTCACTCCACTTTTCCGTATCAGTACGACGACCACACAATTTACCTGAAACTACCCACCCTTTTATCATTTTGAGGATATCCTTCAACCACCGGTACAATACCCACCGAATATTCTCTCCCCACCCACCACTCGTTTATTTTAAGGATGGGGTAGGGTACAATATGGTCCGTTCACGGTGGTCAATATAGTATCCTGTGGGGTGGGGTGGGGGTGGGGGTAGTCACTTGGAGTAATGTTCCGAGGAGGGTTCCAGGTTCGTTTTGAGATTGAGAGGGTGGGGTAGGAGCAGTAGGGGTTCAATCCGGATCACTAATTCGAGTGAGGGGTCAGTAAGGCAGAAAGGTAAGGATGCAAATACCAAGGGTGGGTTAAAAAGTGATGTAGTATGGGGTACTCGATGTCAAGTAGGGGTAGAGGAAACTCCCTGGATGCGGGATCGGGATTGAACAAGGGGTATCTACGAGCTGAAGGGGTAGTGTGTTGTGATGTGGGGGTAGGGGTCCTTTGTGTCACTCCCCGGCAATGCCGATTTTTCCCGTGAACGGAAAACCCGCAGTAGGAGGAGGAGGAGGAGGAGGAGGATGAGCAGGAGCAGGAGGAGGAGGAGGAGGAGGAGAAGGAAGAGAGGATGAGGAGGAGCAGGAGCAGGAGCAGCAGGAGCAGGAGCAGGAGGAGCAGGAGGAGCAGGAGCAGGAGCAGCAGGAGCAGGAGCAGGAGGAGCAGGAGGAGCAGGAGGAGCAGGAGGAGCAGGAGGAGCAGGAGGAGCAGGAGGAGCAGGAGGATAATGAGGGAGAATGTAAAGGATTGGAAGTAGGACGAGGAGAGGGGGAGGGAGGAGAGACAGGAGCATTAGTAGTAGGAGGACGATAGAGGATTAATTGTAGGAGGAGGAAGAGAGGGAGCAAGGGCAACAGGAGGAGGAAGTGGAACAAAAGGAGGGAAACGAGTGACGAGAGGGCGGGCA